CAACCCTCAGTGTCGCGCCCGTACCGGACCGGGACCGGCAACGGGATCACAACCCTCAGTGCTGCGCCCGCACCTCACTCAGCCAGTGAGCGGGAACCGGTCTGTATGTGGGATCCGAACCCTCGACGGGAGCGCCGCCGTGCTCCCAAGCGGCGCACTGTAGCAGTGCACCACCGGGCCGGCCCCGGTGTGTCTGTTTTTATGCCAGTACCATGCTGTTTTGGTTACTATAGATTTGTAATATAGTTTGAAGTTAAGAAGTGTAATGCCTCTGGCTTTACATTTTTTCTCAGGGTAAAACAGATTGAATTTAAAGCAAGTTGAATTCAAAGCAGATTCAAGGGCAGGGGAAATAGATTCCACCTCTTCATGGGAGGATCCACAATATATTATAGCTATGTCTGAGCACTTACCACATTCTTTCTGACCAGACTGAACTTTATAAAGTCATATTTGTTCATTTTAAATTGGCAGTGGCTTGACCTATTTGGTCAATATGTTTCTCTCCTTTTTACTATTTTTTACTAGTAGAGTGCATGTCCCTGTATAATCAAGTATTGGTCTTAGTGGAGCACACACTGTGAGTGTTTTGTTGATGACAAATGTATAATAATAATTAGAATAGTTTAGCAAGACAAACTTCTGGGGCAGTCCCATAGAAGTTGAGAAAGTGCACCCAAGGGGAGGACATCTCAGAGGATTAAAAATAATTTTAGGGCCGGCCTGGTGGCGCACTGCTGTAGTGCGCCGCTTGGGAAGCGCGGTGGCGCTCCCGCCGAGGGTTCGGATCCCACATACAGACCGGCTGCTCACTGGCCGAGCGAGGGGCGGGAGCAACACCGAGGGTTGCGATCCCGTGGCCAGTCCCGGTCCGGTACGGGCGCGACACTGAGGGTTGTGATCCGTTGCCGGTCACGAAAAAAAGACAAAAAGGAAAAAAAATAAATAAAAATAATTTTAAAACCAAAGATATCTAGAGAGGATGAAAGGAGGAGGGAGGCAGAGAGTTTAAAGTGCGCGCCTTCAGCAGTGCGCAGAGAACAGGACAACTAATACATTGCCAAAGTGTTGCTATAGCCAGAAGATTTAGTAGAGTCCTGGGTCTTGTCAAGAAAAGTATTAGAAACAATACTGAAAAGATTATTCTAGTCTTGTATAAAACCTTGTTATCCTGAACCCCAAATTATCAACCAGCCTCAATGAAGACAAATTTTCAGGAAAAAGGCATTAAACTGTTCAAGGGAAAAACTAATGGGAAGGGTAAAGAAAGGAGAAGATTCTCATATGAATACAGACTAAAGATGGTCAGCTCTTCTGTCTCTAAAGGTTTGAGTCAGGGAAAGCCTTTATTACCCAAGTTTGTGAAGCGGAAGCTTGGGACAAATGGAACAAGGTTCCACTTCATCTTATAGGTAGCAGTGTTCTGGGAGCCAAGATTTTAAGAGGTGGTGATGGTAACCTGAAAAACAGACAAGCAACCAGGTTTTAGGTAGATTCCTTTGTAATGAGTTATGAAGGAGACCCCTGGCATGTTTTTGGCCATCCCTAGCCTTCTCTTGTTCTATGAAGTACCCTCTGGAGCAACATTCTGAGGGAGAATTCTGCCTGTGGTCTGACTCAGACTGGAAGAACCAAAACTCGAGAGTCATGGGCTTAATTCTCCAAGCCTGTAATTTCTTCCCCATTTTTCTCCCTACATTGGGTAATTTAGCCATCATCTCACGTCAACCAAAGAGACCATTGGTGTGGGGAAATGAGGAGCAAAACTGACACATTTTGGCATTGCTGCTTCTTAGCAGCTCAGATAAAAGGGTTTGGATTTGGACAAAGGGAGGTGGTATGTGGTGGGGTGGGGAGGTAGGGGGAGGCTCAAGCTATTTTCATTAAGATGCATGGCAATTGAGGTTGTATTTTGATCCCCACAGCCTGCTGTGTGTGATGGTGAGGGAGTGTGGTATGGAGCAGTGGTTCTTAATCATTTCGGGTCACAGATCCCTTTGCAAATGTAATGAAAAGTCTTGACCCTGTTTTAAAAAATGTGGTTCTTAATCATTTCGGGTCACAGATCCCTTTGCAAATGTAATGAAAAGTCTTGACCCTGTTTTAAAAAATGTACATATGCACACACCCACATTCTGTATATAATTTCTGGGGTACCAGAACCCTTTGCAGCCCATCAATGGATCCCAGGGTAAGAACCCATGGTAGACAGCAATCCTAGATTTGGAATCTCTAGACCTAGATATTGGTCCTAGTCCTGCTTCTGTCAAGTTGTGTGATCTGTACTGGGCTGTTTAATCTCTCCGAACTGAGTTTTCTCAAAAAATAAGGGAAAGGGGTTTCCTAAGGCCCTTTCCAGCACCAATATTCTATGATGGCAGTGAGAAGAAAATATAGCATGTAGGAGGAGGATTACTTAGGTCCTCTTCTTGATTATTTTTTGACTTAAAGATTGAGAAAGGTTTCTAATTATTGCTTGACTAGATAAAAGGTGTAATCAAAATATGATACTAAATTGGTGTGTTTTTCTTAGACTATGAAATTCAGAGGCAAATCGATGAACTTGAGAATGGAGGTGAAATTCTGAATGAAACTCGCTCGTTTGATTACAAGCTGGGGTGAGTCTGCATTGATAAGCACCATGACCATAGCCAGGTGGGGCTCAGGAGTTCTGGGCTCAGCCACAGACCAGTCCTGTGACCTTGAAGATGATATTTAGCTTCTCTGCACTTCTGTTTCCTCATTAGTAAAAGTAGAAAAATACTGTACCCTACAGGGATGTAATATGCCCTGTAGGGCTGTTAAGAGCTTTAAACTAACCCAGATTGTACCTAAGTGTGGGGTCTTAGGTTCTGGCCCCTCCATTGCTTCCAGAATTTCCATTTCCTTAAATAATCTATCCAATCTCTACCAGCTTAAGCTAGAAGTAGAAGAGAGATAAGACCTGGCTGTAAAAATATCTTTTTTTCTTTGTTTGTTTAGATAACTTTGACCCTAATTTTCTAACTCAGAATTTTGAGAATTTCATATGTTAAGCAGAATACTGAAAAAAGCTCAAAAGCCTAGAGTTTGAGCTGGCCAGAAGCTGGAAACATTGAGGCAATTTCTTTTCTTTTTTCGAAATTATCATTCTAAACATTTCTCTTTCCTTTGTTGTTATTTTTTAATGTATTCACATGAGTGTCTCCTATGAGAGGCTAAAGAGCTTGAATTTGCCTGTTTCCCTTATTGATAGGGGAAACCCTGTCCCTGCCTATAGGCTAGCCAATGCTGCATGCAGTGTTTGTTTAATGTTTTCTTATTTAACTTTGACAGGTGCACCATGCCAATGAGAGACAAAGAAGGAAAACAGGACTACAGGTGATTATCCTTCATGTCAAACTGCCATTACATATTTGGGTGTTGAGGCATATTTCAGATCCATTTAAAGATCAGCATAATGATCCTGGATAGTTTTTAGGAACCAGTTTTTTGTTATTGTTATTTTCACATGATGGAAAATCTAGACTTTCTGTTTTATGTGTATACTGAGAGAAGTATACACATAAATCTTTCTTGATTTGGCGACCTCAGAGTACCTTGTTTGATGGGATTCAACTGTTAGAAGACACTTGTTGACTCACTTCTATGTCAAAGTTGTCATAGTTGAGCTAAGACTTGGATGGTGGTGAGGTCGGGGCCTAGCCTGTTCTTATTTTCACATTCAGTAACAAATTGAGTAATACACTGAAGTTCCTTGAGAAGAAACGAAAAAAGAGATGTATATACAAGGGTGCTTCAAACAGTTCATGGAAATATTCATATTATCTTTCAATTCTGTTTTTCCAGAAACTGTTTGAAGTACCCTCATATTAATGGCAATTCCCTTCAAACTTCAGGTCATGTTATTTCATTGATAAATAAATTAAACAAGTTGGACTTAATATGAGGCCCACAAATAATGCAAATAATAAGGATAGGCTTAAGATAAATTGAACCTTTTATTTTTTCACATTGAGTTTAGCAGATTGACAGGATTGTACTTTTAAGCAGCAAAGTTGTTGAGATTCGTCCACCTTTCCTTTGTGAAGTGCAGTAAGATACAAATGTAGCTTTGCTGTCAGTAAGGATCAAGTGTAGTATCCTTATGTGGGAAAGAAGAAACTCATAAATCCAAGGCCTCCTGTCATGTGTCTGTCAAAGTCAAGATTATTTTAATTACTGTGATCTTCCAGGTTCGGTCTGTTCTTCCCAAGAACCTTTTTTGTTTTTCATTGTTGCTCCCTGCTGTATTTATGCTACTTTCTTATTGAGCATAGATTTTGGCTTTTAACTTGTCCAGTGGCTTCAGCTTGATCCCTCAAGTTAATAGAGGGTGAGTTTCAGGAAGCCTCCCGTTGGTTTCTTCTTGCCTTCAGAAGTCAGACTAATTCATAGCAGAGATTTGGCACTGAGGTAATGGGCTGTTTGCACTTCTAATCTATTGCCTTCGAACCACCATTTGTTCTGCATTACCCTGCTTTTACATAAGCCCTTTGACAAATATGGGCTGAGAGAAAATATTAGTGCTGGAATAGAACAGAGGAAGGGACATCTTTGTTTTATAAGATTATATGCAATGGTGCAGCTTCCACACTTAAAAAAAAAAACTAATGCACTTTTATACTTTTTTTTTTTTCCTTTTTGTCTTTTTTCGTGACCGGCAACGGATCGCAACCCTCAGTGTCGCGCCCGTACCGGACCGGGACCGGCAACGGGATCGCAACCCTCGGTATTGCGCCCGCACCTCGCTCAGCCAGTGAGCGGCCAGTCTGTATGTGGGATCCAAACCCTCGGCGGGAGCGCCGCCCCACTCCCAAGCGGCGCACTGTAGCAGTGCGCCACCAGGCCGGCCCCAGTTTTTAAAGCAATTTGAGATTTATAGCAAAACTGAGTGGAAAGTACAGAGAGTTCTCATATACTGCCTTCCCACACACACACACACACACAGATTCTCCTATTATTAACATTTGTTACAGTGATGGTACCTATTGTTAACTAACGTCCACGGTTTTCATTGGGGTTCATTCAGTTTGTGTTGTACACTGTACAGGTTTTAACATATGTGTAATGACACGTATCCACCATGACAGTGTCATCCAGAGGTGTTTCACTCTCCACAACTGCCCTGTGCTCCACCTACTCATCCCTGCCTCGTTTCCCTCTAGCTTCATTTTATTTAGGCAAAATCCATTCATTTCTCCTACCTCTCAAGAAGGAAAGTTTTTTTTTTCTTTGACTTTTCATTTATTATACAAATACTGCTAAAAATTCTAAAAATTTTAAAATGGAAGAAAGTCATCTTTCTTCCTAATACGTAGATTTTTCTCACTTGCACTTGTTTTTTCCATCCTATGTCTATATGAATAGATATTTACTCATAATTATAAGTCATAGTGTGACTTCAACCCTGTGTTACTCTATTTCACTCATCACTGCTTTGTAAGCGTGAAGAGTGGCAGGTTTGGTGGTTTTGACACTTGTGCAAAGACTTGCCTGGGAAACAGAGGACTGATGTTGTAGGATATTAGAAAATATTTGCAAGTAACATGGCATCTAAACTGAAACATTCATATGAATGGTAGATTTTTTTTTTCCTCATTAATCCAAATACTCCAGATTGAGATCCCATCTCCTGTCTCTGCATAGGTTTATGCCAGAACCCAACCTGCCTCCCCTGCTCCTCTATGATGCCACGTCTCTGCCTGCAGGTACAGACTCACAGCAGGTGATCAATATTGACCAGATTCGGGAGAGGCTTCCTGAGCTCCCCAGAGTGACCCGAGAGAGGCTTATTCAACAGTATGGGATGTTGCCAGAACACGGCTTTGCTTTACTGGTAGGTATTGATTGGATGCTAAAATGAACCGAAACTCGGCAGGTTGTGTTGTGCTCTACAGAGACCCCTCCACACACAGTTGGCTGCTGTGGGCTCTGAGTAGAGCGAGCACATTTCTTCAGTTGTACTGCAGATGCCTTTGATAAGAATGAGGCATAGTAACCTCTGCTCACTACCCTTTATGGTAAATCCTCCTTATAAAACCAGAAGATGAAACAGAATCTCATGTTAGTCATTTCTTCTTTGTAGAAATGAACAGCTGTTCACGGCAACCATACAGACTTCTTGAAGACAGTCCGAATGTTATGGATGAGTGGTGTTTTCCCATGTGTCTAGAGGACAAAAAAAAAAAAAATCAGTGTATAGGATTTCTAGATGTCTAGTAGTATTGAACCATGACAGGGTCCAGAAGGATGTTAGGTTCTCAAAAGCCAGCCTTTCTTCTTTGTAGAAATGAACAGCTGTTCACGGCAACCATACAGACTTCTTGAAGACAGTCTGAATGTTATGGATGAGTGGTGTTTTCCCATGTGTCTAGAGGACAAAAAAAAAAATCAATGTATAGGATTTCTAGATGTCTAGTAGTATTGAACCATGACAGGGTCCAGAAGGATGTTAGGTTCTCAAAAGCCAGCCAGTTGTTTTACCAATTGCAGAAGAAAACATTTATTCCACACAAAATGCTGAAAACTCTGACTAAAAGTCTCAGTCCTTTGAGGCTTGAGGATGCATCTAAAGGGGCCGTTACAGAATCTGACACCGTTGAGATCTGCTTAGGGATTTTCTATCTTTTTCAAGGTTACTTGGGGCTTTGTGGTTTTCTTTGTCATGGCAACAGCAAAGCCATCAGCGATTGTGGCATTTTGTCACAGTTGTCATCTTCTTGTCTGTTGGGAGGAAGTGGAAAGTTTTGCTGCTCATCTTTCAGGGAGTAGGTACAAGCAACTATGTTTTAGAGCAGTAGAATCTGTGGAAACTCTGGGTTTTTGCCTTTTAAATGACCAATATTAACTATATAGGGATGTTAGAATATACATATTTGTATGTGTATTTATACATATCAGTAACAGCGACCTAGCAGTTTATTGTACAAAACAGGCAATCAAATGTTTGTGAATGAATGATTCTCTTTTTATCATTTATAAACACCAGCTACTTTGAGAAGTATCCAGAGAGTCTTAAGTGAAAACTCCTCTTTTACTACCGAAAATGCTTAGGCATGATGAGTTATTTTCTAATACTCTAGGCAGAATTGATTACTGCCTACTATGGACTGCTCTTCTATCTTATTTATACTTAATAACTATCTTATTTATATAATTGCCTCTGTGGCAATTATATGGCTGTATTTTAATTATTTATTAGCCTATTTTGTTCAGCATCTTGAAGGCTAGGACTGGTTCATCTTCACTGTTACTCAGCTCACATTAGTACACCAACAGGGCTTAATGCCAAATCTTTGACTGTATGAGTCAGTCAGTCATCATCCCATATAGAACACCTTATGGACCAAATTAAGGCTGTTGAGGCAGAAATAATTCCATAAAGGTTTACTGAAAGCCAAGCTTGAGGATCGACCCAGGAAACACAAGCCAACTGAGTTGGAAAGTGCTCTGAAGTCTGCTACAAGCAAAGGCATTTTATAAGGAAGTTTCAAAGTGAGGTTTCAAAAGGGAGGGGGAAAACTCCAAGTACAGTTGTCCTTTTCTCATGGAACACAAGACCCACAATCATTGATTACTGATTACAACATGGAAACCAAAAGTATCTCCATGCAGCCTGAAGCAGAAGCTTCATGCTTCAACTATTCTTAACAATATCTAGATGGCTTATTCAGAACTGGCAGGCTATACATTAATAATAAATCAGCAGTTAAGATGTCAACGTGGAGTTCATGAAACTTATCCCAAGGCAGTGAGTTATGGAAAACCTGCCTCATTTTGATTATTTCCTTCATCAACCTCTTAACCTGAAACCTCTTTACAACTTGGGTATTTTTCCTAGGTTGATGTAACAAAACTGAGTTTCGGTTGTATGCATTTTCCCTTGACCACTTGAATTTCCATCCCACTTAGAATAAATACCAAACTCCAGACCTGCATTTTTTTTTACTATTTACCAAATTCTGTAGAGGATGAGAGGACAAGGACCAAGGCTGCTTAGCCTCAAAGACATCAATTACCTTCTCCATTCGGCATCTGACAAGTTGGACAAAAGACAAACCTTTGAATTAATGTACAATGAGCCAAGGCTTCCCGGCTGTTTCTTTGCTCAAAACTGTGATTTCAGAGAAGAATCTGGTAAATACAACTTAAAAATTCCTTTTTTATATCAGCTTTCTCCCTAAGAGAAGTGAAAGGACCTTTTGGAATATCTTCTCAAGAATACCGCTATTTCTGTTCTAGCCAGTATCTGAAGATATATGCCGCCTTCAGAGAGCATCTCTATAGGATTGTTCACTGGCCTCCGATGAGCATGTGACGGGCACAGTGTCTGCCTCACCTCGTTGAACATAGGCTTGGTGAGGGCAGGAGCATTTCTGCAGACGAGTTTGTGTCCCAGCCTTCATTCATGTGTCCTTTATGGTGCCAAACCTAGTAGGCCTTGAATAAATGTTTGCTAAGGGTGGCAAATGAATGAGTCCATGTGTTAATAGTTTAAGGCCTTGTTTAGCAAAACCCAGATTAGTTCAGCACTTTTATTAGCACGTCCTATGTAGCAGGTACAAAGATTTTTTTTTTTTTTTTTTTTTTGCCTTCCAAGAGTTTATGTATGTATATACATGACACTACAGCTAACCAGCCCGAGGGCAGATTGCATTAGGTAGGTGTATAATGTAGGATGGGAGCCCAGAGGAGGTAGTGATGAACTTGATTAGGACAAAAAGGGAAAACTTCAAGAAGGATGGGATTTTGTAGCCATTTTTTAATGGGCTTAAAATTTTTTATTTCTTAAAAATGTCCTTATTTTTATAGCTTGCAGATAACGTATTAGGTAATTCATTTTTTTTATAAAGGGGGGCTAGTACTTGAAATCTCCAAGATAAGTGAGAATAGAATGAGAAAAGAAGGATGGGATTTTGTAGCCATTTTTTAATGGGCTTAAAATTTTTTATTTCTTAAAAATTTCCTTATTTTTATAGCTTGCAGATAACGTATTAGGTAATTCATTTTTTTTTATAAAGGGGGGCTAGTACTTGAAATCTCCAAGATAAGTGAGAATAGAATGAGAAAGAAGTGGAAAGAGAGATTCAGACAAATTGTTTCCCTGAAATTAGGCAGCCTGAGCCCTTTATGACTTTGTAATCATTGGAAGCTGAGTTACTCATAACATTCCCGAAAATGATATGTTTGTGTTTTTCCTGCCTTCATCAGAAACACAACAGATTGCTGAGAAGGGCAGATGCACAAATCTAATGAACCATCTTTCAATTTAAAGAGTGCCCAGGAGTATTCATTAAATAAATAGCAGTGGTGGAGGTGTGCTTTGCAGAGCTTCAACTCCATGCTCCATGTCTTTGGATTGTTTATTAAATTAAGCATTATGCAATATCCACCCCCACACACATGCCTTACCCACAAATAATAAAAAACTTCAGAATTTAACTCTAGTCTTTAATTTATCCTGTCATTTTACAGTGCAGTTAGCACTGCATTATTTATTGTTAACATTATCTTTGATATTTACAGAACTCTAATATTATACCTTAGCACATATAATACCTGGCATACAGTGGGCACTCGGTGACTGAATGGACGGATGAATGAATGAATGGAATACTATTATAGTACACGTGAAAATCCTCAGAGAAAGGACAGACACTAGATTCCAGATCTCACCTTGGACACATAGGACCTGGGAGGGCTCTGCAAGGATAATCAGAGCTGTTAACCTCCCCAGCTGAAAGAGGAGGGGAGTTATCCATTTACCCTGAAGATGACAGACACAGCAGAATCTTCATTGAATCTAAAAAAACTGAATACAAGTGTTGACACCAAGCAACATGCTAACATGGTTTGAGAGCCATGTGAGGCAAAATTTTAGAAAAATCCAGCATGGCACCAGGGAGACTATGGGGAAATGATTGTGAGCTCCCGAATCAGCAACCTGTGCTGCCATATGTGTGTCTGTCTTTGTATTCTACAACTTCATTTTCTCCAGCTGGTTCTTCCCCATTTAAAGTCATAATCCTTTGTTTCTGACATCATAGAAAAGGTTAAGGAGTCTCCAAGGGACAAAGAAACAGAAAAGATGTCATGACTACAGTTGGTTGTCAAATGGATTTGTATTTCAAGAATTTTACCTTAAGTTTCTAGTAAGCTAGAATGTCCTGGTTTGCTTTCTAGATGAATTGCCTATAATATAAATTTCCATGATAAATATCTGTATGTCCCATATGTAGTACTCCTTTAAAGCTAATAGACTGAAATAGTATCTGAAGCCATACTGAGTCAGTTTAGACTGCCCAAACTTATGGAGGTGCAAACTACTCATCCTCTAACTACCGCTGAAGGAAAATCCATTTGGTCAATATCATCGCACACCATATTTCAGCTCCATGCAATTTTCAAAATTGATTTTATTCTTTCTTTTATAAATTGCATTCAGTGCTTGCCAGCTTAAGGGTGCTTTTACAGTTACTCTATGCACTGGAAAAACAACCAATATTTTGTTCAGGTAAAGTTGAATAAAAAGATGCATCTTCTAACTCTTCCCCTGCCAACCCAGCAGTTCATTTCTTTCAGATGCAAGTGACGAGGTACTTTCAGAGGTGAGGATGCTCTGGACTCAGAGCCATTTGAGACCCTCAGGAACCTGCCCACTGGGGAGAAAGTGCAGAGAGGAGTGAAGTCCTAATGCCCAGCCTTGGGGACCCACTGGGGATTCCATCCCCACCCCATCCTGAAGCCTGATTTCCTATTTGTGGAATAGTTTCCTTTTTAAGACAAATAAAATATATTGTTTCAGGTTTCACGAAGATCTTAGAGGAGAAGAGCAAA